ATGTTGTGGGGTTGGTAACCAATGTCATAAAACAACATGTGTACCACTGTTTCATGAGAACCTATTTGTTCTGTAAGCCTTCACCTGAAGTACAATAAAAATATATATATATATTTACTGAATGAATGGTAATGTGAAGACCTGGGGTGGGAAAGGACAAGGCAAGTTAGAAACTCTCAAGAAGTCACTGCGATGGAATTGAAGCGAACGAGGACGAATGTGGCAGAATAGGATGGAGAAGTAAGCAGAGGCCAGATCACGCCGGGTGGAGGAACCTTGTTAAGAATTTTATATTTTATTCTTTTAGCAACAGAAAACTATTAGCGGGTTCTCGTGTGGGAAAAACATTAGCAGATTTTTGCTTTTAAAAGGTCATTTTGGATGCTGAATGGAGTATGAAATTTAGGTACGCAACGGTAAATGTAGGGGAACAAATTAAGAGATGGCTGCAATTTAATTCTGTTGTAATTAATAGAGGAACTACCATACCTAATAGACCAATACGTTAGCATCTTGAAAATTCAAACACATTAGAAGCACAAAAGTTTGGCAGGGTTTTAGATAGATAAACTACAGGAGCTTTGTGTTTTTACCTCCATCCCCCACCTCCTTTCCTTCCTATCAGCAGTTTTGCTTTTTTCACAATAAAATAATGGAATTAGTACATAAGTAGTACCCATCATGCTACGCTGTCACCACTGGTTTAGTTGTTGATTACTCAGGAGACTATAAATTCCTTCAGAGAAAGGGCTATATAATAATAATAGTACCAGCAGTAATAATAATATTAATAAATAATATTAAGTTATTACTATCCGTTAGGCACTACTGTAAGCATGTATGTGCAATAACTCATTTAACCGCAAGACCAGATGCAGGAGCACATGCAGTAGGCACTGTATCCTATTTTAAAGATGAAAGAAGTGAGGCACAGAAAGACAAAGTAACTTGACCAAGGTCACATTGCTAGTAAGTGGCAATGTGGCTCCAAAGCCCACACACTTAGCCATTTATTATGCTGTTTGGATCTTATATCTATATCTCATTTGTCTTTATATACCCAACACCTAGGACACGGCCTACACGTAACTCCTTAGGAAATGTTTAATGGAATAAACAAGTAACTGAATTTTAGTTTATACCCTGCCTGCTGTACTTCATATCTGTTTTGTCTGTCTGTCTCTAATTCAACGACTTTCCTGCGTCTGTACATTCCTGTCCTACAGACAGTGTCCCCCTAAGCCTTTCAGAACCTCCTTCACCCTTTTATTCTTAGGTCAAAGAGAATGTCTATTTAGGCACCTAGGGAAGCCAGAAAATCTGCTTTTATGGTTTCAAAAGATATTCTCAGTCTTAGCACATCATTTTAGAAGTGCCCGTTTTAACCAAGAATGTATCCATGTGGGTGGTCTAACTGCATCAAAGACAGCCCGACTCTCGTTAGAAAACAAATTTTCTCTTTTCTTTTCCCGTGAATGTTTATTTTACATGGGCAGCTGTTTTTTTCAGGCGTGGATAATGCAAGACCTCCTTTTCTCATATATTTCCCCAATAGAATCTTGAATTCCATGTAAAACATTAAAATTAATAAAGAAAATAAAGATATAAAATTTAAGTCTCCAGACAGATGGCTGTACTAACGGCTCTTTAAACATAAAAGCAGATGCTCTCTATGTCCCAAACACCTAGACTTTTGGTTCTGCCTATTCGGGGTTTGCTCACTCAAATGGTGTGGAAAGAATTACCACTTCCCAGGAGTGAGGAAACATGAGAGAAAACTAAAATGGGGTAAGAAAGGAAGCAAAGCAAGCATTATTCAGAAATGCTGCTTTAATCATTATTTAGCCCTTGCTTTCCTTTTTTCACTGCTTCCCACTTAAAAATAATAAACCCAGAACAGTGAATAATACAAGTTGCCTGAGTCAATCTTCAATGAGTTCTGAAAAAGTTAAAAATTTTAAAAACTCATCTGTTCAGGTTTAAAAAAATAAAATTTATGCCGTCATCTATGAATTTTATATGAATACCTAACTTGTCATATTCAAAGGAATGACTGCAGATACTGCCTTAATTTCTAAAGATTGTTCATTTAATAGCCAAGACCAGAAAATGAATGAATGAATGAATGTGTTCAAAGTGCCAAATGTGAGGGTTCTATATGCCTAGCTCCAAAAACCCAAGTATGGACATATGTACGGTTTGAAACAAAATATACTGATACAATAAAACTCCACATTAAAAAATTTCAAACTTACAAATATCTCAAACCAACACTGTCCTCAGAACTGATTTAAATTCATCTAGTTCACAGGATTTACAAGGCAATTTACGGAGAAGACAGAGAAGTTTCACCATTATAACAAAAATGTTACCTGAGGGAGGGCACCATAATTCCATATATAACCCTTGTGAGGGAAGATATTTGCCACATAGCGCAGCTTGCCATCTTTTACATCTTGTTTAATGGGATTCAATGGCTCCTTGGTGGCAATCTACGCAGATCACGGGGAAAAAGGAGGAGGGGGAAGAATGAGAAATGATTAATCCTATAACCAAATAGTGTTTTTAAAATCTGCTATTTTCAGACTAAATATTCATATTCCAACTTTCTGATCAAAAGTGCTTTAAAATAAGGCAACAGCAATGAATCTGTGAAGCATCTCATAACATGGATGAAACCGGAGGACATTATGCTGAGTGAAATAAGTCAATCACAAAAGGACAAATATTGTATGAGACCTCTATTGTAAAAACCCATGAAAAAGTTCACACGC